CCTCCCTCTTTCCTCCCCCCTCCCTCTCCACCCTCCCTCCCACCTCCAACCCACCCTCACACAACCCACCTCCTCCTCCTCCAGGCCACACCCGAGTCGTCCAGCTGCTGTTGAGTAAGGGCGCCCTGCTGCACCGGGATCACCATGGCAGGACACCACTACACCTGGCTGCTCTCGGGGGACACAGGGACACCATCAGCGCCATCCTCACCATACACAGCCACACGTTGGATCAGACGGATAAGGAAGGGGTGAGTGAGGTGGATAATTTTTTTTTTTTTTTTTTTTTTTTTTTTGTCTTTTTATGTTGTTCTTTTTGTGGTTTGTATTGATATAGTTGTTAATATTTTTTCAGTATTATCATCATTATTATTATCATGATTATGATTATTATTACTATTGTCATCAATTTACATCGTTATTCTCATTTTATTTATTATCATTATTATTATTATTATCATTATCATTGTGATTATTGTTATTGTCATCAACATCATCATCATTATTATCAATAATCATCCTTATTATTACCATTATCATTATTTCCATTACCATTATCATTCTAATGATAATTATATCTTGCATCAACCTAGAACTAATAACATATATCAACGCGTCTGTATCTAAACACCTTTTTTGTCGTAATTTTTACTTATTAATTCATTTATTCATCTCAGCTCTTAATTATTCAGTTATCAATCTATTTATTTACCTATTTATTCATCACAACTCTCATCAATTCATTTTATTTATTTATTTATTTATACATCTCAACCATTAATTATTCAATCATCAATTTATTTATTTACCCATTTATTCATCCCAACTGTCATCAGTTTATTTATCAATGAATTTGTTTACCCATTTATTCACCCCAACTCAATATATCCATTCATCAATTCATCTTAACCCCTTACTTATTTATCTTTCAATTCATTCACTTATTTACTTATTTATCTTTCAATTTATTTACTTTTCATACATTTATCTTTCAATCTATTCACTTGTTCATTCATTTATCTTTCAATTTATTCACTTGTTCATCCATTTATCTTTCAATTTATTCACTTGTTCATTTATTCACCCCCCCTCCCCAGAACACCGCCCTACACGTGGCTGTGCGAGCGAACAAACCGGAGACAGTGAGTCAGCTGATGAGTCTCAACTGCAAATTCCTCGAGAACTTGGCCTCTTGCAAGCCCATTGACATTGCCATTCAGTACAAGCTGTCTGAGTCGGCCTTGGCTCTCGTCACGCACGATCGAGGGTGAGTTTGAGGAGGAGGTGGAGGTGGAGGTGGGAGTGGGTGTTGGTGATGGTGAGGAGGAGGAGGAGGAGGAGNAGGAGGAGGAGAGGAGGAGGAGGAGGAGGAGGAGGAGGAGGAGGAAGGAGGAGGAGGAGGAGGAGGAGGAGGAGGAGGAGGGAGTGGGTGTTGGTAAGGAGGAGGAGTGGGAGTGGGTGTTGGTAAGGAGGAGAGGAGGAGGAGGAGGGGGGAGTGGGTGTTGGTGATGGTGAGGAGGAGGAGGAGGAGGAGGAGGAGGAGGGAGTGGGTGTTGGTAAGGAGGAGGAGGTGGGAGTGGGTGTTGGTAAGGGAGGAGGAGGAGGAGGAGGGGGAGTGGGTGTGGTGATGGTGAGGAGGAGGAGGAGGTGGGAGTGGGTATTGGTAAGGAGGAGGGGGAGGAGGTGAGTGGGTGTGGTGATGGTGAGGAGGAGGAGGAGGAGGAAGAGGAAGAGGGTGGGATAGGGAGGGGGAAGGAGGGAGGGAAAGAGGGTAAGATGGTAGATAGAATATTGTTAATAGCAGGTGGGCGTAGATGGATATAGATGTAGATAATAGATGGATAGATGGATTTTGTTGAACTTTTTCATGTTTTAAGAAACTTTTTTTCATATTTAGATTTAGATATGTGTGAATACTGATATTTTCTACGTTTCTGAGTATCAGATTGAAACGTTTTCGTGTAATTAATTAATAATAAAATTTCTACTATCATTATATCTGAATAAACCTTTCCTTATTAAGGTCAAAAATTGGGTTATTATCAATTTCTTCTTTTTACTTTAAATTAAATGCTTTCTTTTTACTTACAATTTTCCTTTTTTCGTGTTTTTTTTTTATTTTTTACTCTTTTTACTTTTTCCTTTGTCCTTTTTTCTTGTTTTTTGCTTTTTTAACCCTTTACACTTTATTTTTTTACATTTTTCCTTTTTACTTCACTACTTTTTCGGTTTTATTTACTTTTTCCTTTTTTTTTTCCTTTTTTACTTCTTACTTTTTTTACTTTTTTCATTTTTCCTGTTTTCCTTTTTTCTTTTTTCCCTTTTTTTTCTTTTTTTCCATTTTTCCTTTTTACTTCTTTACATTTTCCATGTTTCCATTTTCCTTTTTTTACTTTTCTTACTTTATCCCTTTCTTTCCTTTATTTAATTTCTCCTTTCTACTTTCTTTACTTTTTCCCCCTGACCAGCCCAACGGAGGTGCTCGGGACGTCAAGCAAGATCCACGGTTGCATCTGCATGGCCCTCATTCGGACTCTGCCAAAGGTCTTCGAGTCAGTGCTCTTCCAGGCCATAGTCAAGGCAGACGTCAAGGAGCAGGCCAAGGACTTCTATGTGAGTGTTGGGTATTGGTTATAGGGATTTTGATTTATTTATTTTTAGATTTTTTTTATAGTGTTAGTTATTGGGATTTTGTTTGGTTGTTTGTTTTTAGAATTTTGTTATGGAGTAGAGGGATTGGTGGGTGTATAGAGGAGATGGATAGGTGGATTTATAAAGGAGATGGATTGATGGATGTATAAAGGAGATGGATGGGTAGATGTATAAAGTAGATGGATAGGTAAGTGTATTCATTACAGGGATTTTATTTATTTATTTATTTTTAGAATTCTTTTTTTTAGATTTTTTTTATCTTCTTTTTTTTAGAATTGGGTATATACTGTAGGTGGTCACGTAATGTTGAAGTTCGTTATGTGATAAAAAAAAAAAAAGTGTGTAGAATATTATGAAAATTCAAGAAAAGTGGATTTTTTTAATGTTGTATGGGACATACTTATGAAGAAAACTAGGTTAAGTGAGAAATGAATTTGATTTGTGGTTTGAAAGGGTCTTTTGTAGATGAAATTGCATAACCACTGCAAGATATGTTTAACTGATATATACCCGTAAAGTAATATTACTGTAAGAATAAATGAAATACCCTTTTATTCTTTCTGTTGTCTTTTTTTCTCTCCTCTTCTTTCCTACCTCCTCTTTCTCTTCCTGTTTTTCTTCCTCTCCCCTCTTCTCCTGCTCCTTCTCCTCCTCCTCCTCTCCTCCTCTTCCTCCTCCTCCACCCCACCCCCTTTCCTTCCTCCTTTTCTACCTCTCCTTCCTTCCTCTACCCCACTCCCTTTCCTTCCTCCCTCCTTCCTGTTCTTCCTCCTCCCCTCCGCCTCTTCCTCCTCCACCACCCACCCCCTTTCCTTCTTCCCTCCTTCCTCCTCTTCTACCTGCCCTTCCTCCCTCTTCCTCCCCTTCCATTCCTCCTCTTCTACATCCCCTTCCTTCCTCCTCCTTCCCCCTCCTTCCTCCTCCTTCCTCCTTCTTCCAACAGATCAAGTACAACTTCTACCCGCTGCAACTGACCCCTGAACAACTCGACGCAGAGAAGATCAAGCAGAAGAATCCGAATTTTCGTCCAGAGCCCCTGTATGCTTGCAATGTAGGTCATTTTGCTTGCAATGGAGGTCATTTCCGAGGTCGCGCTTGTACGCTTGCTTGGTTTTGTTATTGATGTTATTGTTATTATCATCATCATTATTATTATTATTATTATTATTATTATTATTATTATTATCAACGTCATTGTTATTGTTATTTTTACCATCATTATTATTATTATTATTATTATTATCATCATCATTATTATTACTATTATTATCATTATTATTATTAATGTCATTACTATTATTATTACTATTATTAGCATTATTATCATTATTACAATTATTTTCATCATTATTATTACTGTCATTATTATCATTATTAACACTATTATAATCATTATCATTATCCTGTTATTAGATGTTATTATTATTGTTATTATTATCATTGTTATTATTATTATTACCTTCGTCAAGGAGTGTTGGTTAGTTAGTTTGTTAGTTGGTTATCAGGATAACTCAGAAAGTTAAAAATGATTTTTTATTATCTTCTTTTTACCAGTGTGTCTTAGCCCAACTTAGATGCCATTAAATTTTGGTGGTGATCAGGATACAGGATGGTTAGCAGGATAACTCGAACAGAGAGAGAGAGAGAGAGAGAGAGAGAGAGAGAGAGAGAAGAGAGAGAGAGAGAGAGAGAGAGAGAGAGAGAGAGAGAGAGAGAGAGAAGAGAGAGGAATGAGAGAGAGAAGAGAATGAGAGAGAGAGAGAGAATGAGAAGAGAGAGAAGAAAGATAGAGAAGAGAGTGAGGGCGAGTGAGAGAGAGACAGAGACAGAGACAGAGTGAAAGAGAAAGAGAAAGAGAAAAAAAAATACCAGAGGTGTGTCTTAGGATTCATTAGCATTGCGAGATAGAGGAACACGGATGTCACCAGTGTACTTCAGAAAGAGGAGATTTTAACGTGATTCTTCAAGTGTGAATATCTTTATTGCGTCAGTGACCCTATTTCCTTGGCGGAGGCTATCAGTTATTATCATTATTGTTATTATTTTTGTATTATATCATCACAGTATTATTATTACTATTACTATTATTATTATATTATTATTATTATTATTATTATTATCATCATTGCAGTGATATATGATTTATAGGTTATGTTTATTCATTGCTTAGCTTGTTTTTTTATCACTTCATTGTATGTCTTCCCCTTCCATGCTTGTTTATTGCTTGTATTTTCGGAAGGGGGTTGCTTGTTTGCATGTCAGGTTGCGCGCTTGTCAGATCTTTGATTGCTTGCAGTTGGAGTTTGCTTGTGGAGTTGATTGCTTGCTGGATAATGTGCTTGTAAGAATGCTTGCTTGTACGAATGGTTGATTCGTTATCAGATGGCTTGATTTTTTGGTTCGTCTGCTTGTTATTTATTGTTTATTAGATTGCTTGCTTGTTGAATAGTGTTTCTTGAATTGCTTGCTTTTAGAATTGATCGTCGTTCATTTGTTTGTTTGTCCGATTTGTATATAGTGCCATGGCCATCAAAGCATTTTTTTATATGTGTTACATATTCTTAAAAATCCTGAGTGGATTTGACGCTTCGTTAAGTTGTTTGTTTACTTCTGTGATTGTTGTGTTTTGATTGCCCAAGATATTTTTTTTTTTATGCTGGTTTTCTTGTCTCTTTGAGTCTTCTGTTAGTATCGGCACGGTGAGTTTGTGTTTGTGTGTGTGAGTTTGTTTGTGGTGTGTTGTGTGGTGTGTGTGTGTGTGGTGTGTTGTGTGTGTGTGTGTGTGTGTGTGTGTGTGTGTGTGTGTGTGTGTTGCGCGCGTGTGCGTGTGTGTTTGCACTCGTGTTTTTTTATGTTGATATGCATGGCTGTTCAAATCAACATCCTTTCTACACGCATACTCTGCTATAACCCCATAATTCCACACGACAAACCCTACAACCTCACAACCAGAACCCCCCACAACCAAAACTCAGCCCCCCAACCCCCTCAACCCCCCACTCCCCTCCCCCCACAGGCGATGGTGGAGTCCGGCGAGTGGAGCTCCTGATGCACCCCCTCACCCAGAAGTTCCTCGAGATGAAGTGGCAGGCCTATGGGAAGTACATCCACCTCTCCAACCTCTTCGTGTACCTCGTGTTCCTGGCGCTGGTCACCATCTTCGCCGTCGGGGTCCTGGGACAGCAGAGTTTCGTCATGTCCAATGTAACGAGGGTTCCTGTGGATAACGTGTCGGATATAACGACCACCGGCGAGTTTCAGTTACATGTGAGTTTGGCGGGTTTGTTTAATTGTAATGTCACGGCGGAGAAGATAATGATATGGTGGTAAAATGGCAATGGAATAATGGGACTGATTCAGAAACAAAAGATAAAAATGATAAATGATGATATAATGAAAAAGAATTATGAAAAGAATGGACTTCGTGTTGTTGTTTTGATTTTATTTATTATAGGGTGTAGTTCATGTAAAAACGAATCAGTATCCTATGATAGAGAGTACTGAAGGCATAGGTTTGTTATCGAATATTAATAAAATTCAGCCTTTGTGATATAGGCCTATGTTTTTTTGAATTGGGTGTGTTTCATGCATAAATCAATCACTATCCTCTGTTTAAAAAGCTGAATCAAGACACAGAATAAAAAACTGAATATAAATCATATGTAAACAACGAATGATAATGATAACACTTACATCAATAAGTCTAAACCGCCATTACCTTAAAAAGCAATTAAACTACAACGCGACTTTTGCAGATCGAAGACACACCTGGCTGGATGTTCTGCATGGCCATCGGGATAACTGTGTTTGCCGTGTTGAGTATGATGAAGGAGGCATTCCAGATATACTACCATCGACTTAAGGTTCTTGCGATATGCTGTACTCATAATGAATAGATTAATCTAAGTTGAATATCTGTAATGTGCTTAAAAGAGTTTCCAGTTGAGGTTATGTATATTCGTGCAGGAACAGAGTATAGATCTTTTTGTTCCATTGTAATATCATGACTTGGAGAAGATAATGACATGGTGATAAAATGGCAATGAAATAATTAGACTCATTCAGAAACAAAAGATAAGAATGATAAAATGATGATATAATAAAAAAGAATTATGAAAATAATGGGCTTCATCAAAACCATTAAAAAATTGTATCAAAGAAAAAAAAATAAATAAAAAAATAAACTTACCTATGATACAAAAGTGCTTTAACACAGAACCACAAAACACAACCCCAATTAAAAACACACACCAGTAAACCACTTTCTTAACCCCTTCCAACAGTACCTGGCAGAAGCGATCAACTTCGTGGAATGGACAATGTACCTGGCATCGATATGTATGGTGATGCCTGTGTTCCTTGGCACCAATTGGCACAACCAGCAGTACAACTCGGCCGCCCTTGCTGTCTTCTGCTCTTGGTTCATACTCCTCATTTACTTTCAGAGGTGATTAGGAATAGGAATTGTTACTGTTGCTATTACTCCATTAATTATAATGTATATGATATGAAAATAGTAATGATAGGAGTTACTATTGCTATTACTCCATCAATAATAATGTGTATGATAGTTATGAAAATAGTCATGATAGGAATTATGACAATGATGGTGATGATGATAATGATAATGATAGTAGTAGTAATAATAATGATGATAATAATGACACTAATAATAACCACAAAGATGATGGTAATCATCAATATTATCAGTAATCTTTTTCGGATTTAGAGTTATAATTATGAAAGAACAAAATTAGTATTGGCACTTCGAAGCTACAATGCAATATTTATTACTTGCAGACTCTTTCTTTCTTTCTTATTCATTTATTTATTCCTTCCTTATGATCTTTCTACAGGTTTGACCGGATTGGGATATACATTGTGATGTTCCTTGAGATTCTGAACACACTTATAAATGTTCTTCTTGTGTTCTCTGTTCTTATCGTCGCCTTTGGACTTGCCTTCTATATCCTGATGTCACATGTAAGTTTGTTTGTGTGTTTAGACACTTCATCTGTTGACAGTTCTTTCGAAATACGGTAGATTGATTAATTATGACAGATACGCGAATTAATTTCTTGTTTTATACTTTCAACTACAGTATTGTCATAGAATAATTAAGATATTGGTATTAGATATATATATTTATTTTACGTTTAGATTTCTCTCTGGGTTTCTTGACTTAAATATCCCACAAAAAAGGATATATTTATTGAGAAAATTAGCCATAAAAGACAAAATAACGAAGGGAAGAATAAGAAAATTCATGAATATACCGAAGGCCTTTTCGCTGTCTTGCTTCTCCAGAACAAGAAGAAGCAATATAGCAAAAAATAACTTTATTCGTGTGTTTTCTTGTCCTTTCCTTCGTTGTTTTATAAATATTTTCGTTAAGCGTGAGCCCTGCATAGACCTGGACATATACAAAGACATTATACATAGTTTATGTACCTTATTAATCTCCAAAATTATTCCATTTAGACACCGCCAATAGGGATAAATGTAAAAGAAATACATATACGAATAAATTAATACTCCATTAGCCAAATTTAAACCTAATTCCATACCACCTAACATCCCATCATCCCACCTCTCCTCTCTCTTCCTTCCTTCCTTCCATTATCACTTATTCCCCCCCCCTTTCTTCCCCTCTTTCCGCTCACGCCGAAGGGAGGTCAGCTGTCCTTCTCGAACGTGCCGATGTCGATGCTGCACACTTTCTCCATGATGCTCGGGGAGGTCGACTTCTTGACCATCTACGTCTACCCCTTCTACCAGGAAAGCACCCGGGGGGACATCCTGCTCTTCCCACGCACCACGTTCGGTTGGGCCCCCTGTGTTTTTTTCTTTTTCTTTTCTTTTCTTTCTTTTTTTTCTTTTCTTTCTTTCTTTCGTTTTTGTTTTTTTATTAGGTGATTGGATGATTTTCTTTCCTTTTTTCTATTTGTTTTCTTTCTTTCTTTTTATTTAAGTGATTGGCTGATTTTCTTTCCTTTTTTCTATTTTTTATTCTTTCTTTTTATTTATTAAGTGATTGGCTGATTTTTTTCCTTTTTTGTATGGAAGGATTGACTATTTTCCTTTTGTTTTTTATAAAGGGATTGGCTATTTTATTTTTTATTGGGATTAACTATTTTCTTTTTTTATTATTTTTTTGTATCAAGGGATTAATTATTTTTATTATTGTGTGATCAACTATTTTCCTTTTATTTTTTCATTAAGTGGTTAGCTATTTTTTTCATTAAGTGATTGACTATTTCCGTTTTTTATTGTGATTAACTATTTCTCTTTTCTTTTTGTTAAGTGATTAAGCTATTTTTCTCTTCTTTTTTGTATTAAGGGATTAACTGTTTTATTATTATGTGATTAACCATTTTCCTTTTCTTTTTTTATTAAGTGATTGACTATTGCCTTTTTTATTGTGATTAACAATTTTTTTATTTTTTTTAAGTGATTAAATATTTTTTTTATTAAAAATAATGATAGATAGATAAATAAATAAATAAATATATATATATATTCTTTCTTTTATTAAGTGATTGACTATTTTTATTTTCTTTTTATTAAGTGATTGACTATTTTTTAAGTGGTTTACTATTACCCTTATAGCCTCCGCCAAGGAGACTGTTTCTGTTGGTTAGTTAGTTTGTTTGTTAGTCGGTTAGTGAGATGTGACCCTATTGCCTTGGCAGAGGTATGCGCTCTCTTTGTGAGTATTTTTATTGTTCTTTGATTAGTTTTTTTTATTGATTTCTATCATATATGTGTACGTACAGATACATAGACACACATTCATGAATATATACACGCGCACAAACGACACGCACACATAAACATACATGTACACACGCAACACAAACATACAAACAAATTAATGCATACACAAACACATGCAAACAGGCAAACGGAAACACACACAGATACACACGCAAAGAAACAAACGCATACACAAACAAACACACTCAAACAAACATGCACACAGACACAAGCACCCGTATACACACAAAAACAAACAATCACATACAAAGACGAACAAAAACACACGCACGCATACAAATACAAACACACACACACAAGTTACTTAAAACGATCTTATAATCATACATATGAGATCGTGATTACGTAAACACATACAAACACAAACAAACATACACGCACGCACACCAACAAAAAAACAAACACACACACGTCACTCAAAACGATCATATAATCATACATATACCTGCGTGTACGTAAAAGACCGAATCTAAGGACACGTACACCCAACATACACTCAACATACACTCCTAACCCCCCCCCCCCCTTCCCTCCGCTTCTGGTAATCTCCATGAGTTACCAAAAACGATCATGTAATCATACATATACCTGCGTGTACGTAAAAGACCGTACACCCAACATACACCCAACATACACTCCTAACCCCCCCCCCTTCCCTCCCGCAGCCCTTCTGGTAATCTTCATGATCCTGATGCCGATTCTACTCATGAACCTCCTTATTGGTCTGGCTGTTGGGGACATCGAGAGCGTGAGGAAGAATGCACAGCTGAAGAGGATCGCTATGCAGGTGGGTGTGCGGGCGTGTGTGTGTGTGTGGGCGTGTGTGTGGTGGGGTGGGGGGGTCGTGTGTGGGGGGGTGTGGGTGCTTGTGCGTGTATGTGTATTTGTGTGTGGGGGGGGGGGGGGGTGCGGGTGTATGTACGCTTGTGTGTGTGTTATTTTCTATTAAGTGTAGATTTTTAGAGTGTTGGGTGTGTGAGAGATTGATAGATAGATATACATAGATAAATACATACATGCATTCCTTCATATAAATACATGCATACAGGCACGCAAATATACATACAGACAGGCAGACAGAGTGAGAGAGTGAGGGAGGGGAGGGAGGGAGGAGGGAGGGAGGGAGGAGGAGGAGGAGGAGGAGGAGGAGGAGGAGGAGGAGGAGGAGGAGGAGGAGGAGGAGGAGGAGGAGGAGGAGGAGGAGGAGGAGGAGGAGGAGGGAGGGAGGAGGAGGGAGGGAGGGAGGGAGGGAGGAGGGAGGGAGGGAGGGAGGAGAGAGAGAGGGAGAGAGGGAGAGAGGGAGAGAGAGAGAGAGGAGGAGAGAGAGAAGAGAGGGAGAGAGAGAGAAGAGAGAGAGAGAGAGAGAAGAAGAGAGAGAGAGAGAAGAGAGAGAAGAGAGAGGAGAGAGAGAGAGAGAGAGAGAGAGGAGAGAGGAGAGAGAGAGAGAGAGAGAGAGAGAGAGAGAGAGAGAGAGAGAGAGAAAGAAAGACAAAGAGGAAAAGGAGGAGGAAAAAAATCCACAACATCCTCACCCACCCATTCGCCGCAGGTCGAAATGCACACAGAACTGGAGAACAAACTCCCCGAAATGATCATCCGGCGAGTGAACAAAAGTGAACTGGTGATCTACCCGAACTGCAGGAAAGGAACGCACCTGATGAACAAGATCCTCAGCGCGTTCAACTTCGCCTGTCCGTTCAGCGACAAGAAAGGAACGGGTGAGTTGAACATTTTTTTTAGTTGGATTTTTTTTCTCTCTCTCGATTTTCGGGTATTTTTAGGGATAACTAACTTATATATATATATATATATATATATATATATATATATATATATATATATATATATATATTATATATATATATAGATAAGTATATATATGTGTGTATGTATAAGGATATATATTTATATGTAGTGATGCTTTCGGGAGTTATGTTGTTGATTAGTTTGTTTTTTCTTATTGTTAGTGCCTTTTATTGACATTATTAATAGCATTTTTATTGTTATTATCGTCTATATCAGTACCGTTATTATTATTATCATTATCACTTTTATCATGATAATTACGAGAAACCTAAAGATAAAAAAGACCGAAAGA